CCCCCCCTCTGTAAAGCTTCCTTATTCCACCCTGAATCTGCCCATACAGTCCTGAACTCCACTGAATATTTAGCAAACACTACAAATACCTTGCTGGAGTAATGAAGGCTTTGGGTCACTTTCCTTCCCAACATCCACTAAATACTGGGAGGCGGAGTCCACTGAGTTCACGGTGGTCAGATAGTTCTGTTACGTTTTCTCAGCAAGCAAAACAGGAGGCAGGGGAGCTGGTGATGATCCTGGAGCACAGAGACAAGAGAATGTCATGGGACTACCCCATGCCTTCATTTCAGGAAGCGGTAGCATTGGTCTTAGCATGCTAAGCTAACCTTAGCTGAGCATTAGCATTACTTTTAGCATATGGGCTAGCATCAATGGACACATGGCTTGTCATTTTATGTCAGTTCATCAAGTCAAGTACTAGTCGAAAGAGTTGAAATCATGATTGGATAAATACAACACATGCACAGCTCATTTCAAGTCATTTATTTTAGCTTATTGGATTTACCCAAGGTCATCCAAATGTTTGTATGTTTCAGCCACCTGTTCTCATCCTCAAGCAGCGATCTGGGTCGAAGTGGCCAACAGGAAGTGATGGTGTGAAGAATAATTTATAGGGGGGAAGACCTGGAATGATCCAAGTGTGAGCCAGTACAGACGGGTGTACTGGAGTACCTTAAGTTGCTGTTTTGAGACGCTTTGTTCAGCATGTAACATTTCATTTCTGGTTTTATAGTTGATATATTGTGTATTGATGTAGCCAGAAATGTTTTGGACGGTTGAGGTAACATAGTGGTGTTCAATTGATTTCCAATTAACTTTGGTTTGTCTTGTAGAAGGGGCTTCTGGTATAAAGGAAGGAGGCAGAGGCTCTTCTTGGCAGAACAGCTTTGGCCTGGAAGGGCACATGTGCTAGAGCCCAATAGTCAGGGCCTTTGTGTGGTTTAATATCAGTTTGTAATGATAATTTGAATAGTTTGTACATAGTTTCCTCATTTGTTATTGATATATTTTTGCAATAATTCACATTTGCACTACTGCACTTTCCACGTGTCTGGTGAAGAAATAAACTGAAGCACCAGGTGAAGAACTCCTGAGTCCATGTCTCCTCCTTCCACCATGGGGCTAAACATTACAGGGAACATGAGGCAAAAAGACACAAAAGATAATGAGTTAATCCTGCTGAGGCTGTACAACTAGAACAAAAGTGTCTTCTGGGACAGTCCAGTCAGTAAGTAGCTTCTCACTTAGTTTAACCTGTGTAAGAAAGAGCTGCAACATTATAACAGATAGAAAACCTGCAGCAGCGTTGTGTGGTCTCACACAAAAACAGCACTGTTGTTGTGTCGCATTGTTGAGCTCAGTGTTATTGTACTTGCTCAGAGTCCTGATGTTGTGTTGAGAATGTGGTTAAATCCAGATGAAGGCGTGAAGTGAAGATATAAAAGCCAAAGTGAGTCAGAGAAACATTTTTCACACTCTTTGGTCAGCTGTTCAAACATGTTGTCATGGTTTCAAAAGTCAGATCAT